TCAGGAAATCATTGAGATAACATCGTTAATTTTCATTAAAGTAAGAGTTAGTAGAAGCGACCTTAGGTTGGAAAATCCAGCCAGGACAAGTTTTTTTTTTTTTTGCCTGCACCACAGACAAAAGCTCTTTATCATGGACTGTGCAGGCAGAGCAATGACAAAAAGGCTAGAAGATAAACCTAAGCAAATACAAAATTAAGAGGAAATTCTTAACTCAACCACTGAACAGTTAGTTAAGTAATGTGACCACACATGTTTTCAATAATAAAAGGCTTGGTGAACTCTTCATTCTATATTCATAGGACACATGGAACCCTCCCTACCATTCTTGAGAATCCAGTACTCAATTTAGATAAATACGCCCTCATTTTTGCTATACCTAAATCTTTTTCAAATATTAGAAAAGTCATTCTCAGAAAAGAAATGCTGAGAATTTCAAATCTGTTTAAATGTGAAAATTCTACATTCGACATTCAGAGCTTAACTGTATTATAAGGTTAGAACCTGAAATGGTCCAAATTTTTAATAATATCACATACTCCTGTTTCCCCAATACTTATTGGACATTTTCACAGAAATTGAAATGACAATGAGACACATATGTGAATAAAATTATTTTCTTAACAGAATTGAATAATGCCTGAATCCAAGGTCATAAAGAACATTACAGAAAGGGACAGTCATTGTAAGGTTTTCCCATCTACTGCTGATGATTTCTTTTGAACTTTTAAGATCTCCTAGGAATACACTATTTACAATATCACTTTACAGCAACCAGTTCCTAATTACCCCTTTCACAACGGAAAGCAGTATCTCTAGGGTGGGACAGGGATAGAAGAAGAAAAAGAGGCAGAAGACTTTCTCCATCCAGCCCTGACTCGCGCCCCACCCCAAACTGCCTCTTTTCAGCTCTGGTACATGAACAGGTCCCTAAGGAAATCCTGAGCCTGGGGAGCCCTTTAAAAACCATTTAAACTTGGCAGCTATATAGCTGAAAAATGATAGCTTCAGACTATAAGCTATAAGGAAACGAAAACCTACATTTACTTTCAGCCTTGCATCCATTCCGTGAAAAGATATTAAACTGCGCTCTGTGCCAGAGTTTGTGCAGAGCCTTGGAGAGCCCAAGATGAAGAGGAAAAACCTACTTCTCTCTTTCCGAATGCAGAAAAGCCTTGGAGTGCGACTAACTTGGTTTGCGAGTGTTCCGCAAGACGAGCAAGCGTGTCTAATACATTTTAACGCGGTCAACGAGCGACGTCTCTTGCAATACAGTAGTTTGTTTCCAGAACGAATTATGCTGGCAAACCAAGGTATTACTGTAATTCCACATCACGTCTTCTCCATTTCCATTTTTTAAAATCCACATGCCAGGGACCCTCCCTGACCATCTGATTTCAAGCTTCTGCAACGCCCTGGTCAGGCCCCTTGGTTCCTAAAGACTTGGCAGCCAGAGTTCCGGATCCTTCTCTCTTCCCCAGGCCTGGCCCCAATTCTGGATGATTTCAGCACTGGCATAGATGACTCATGCATCGCATCGCTCTGGTCTCTCCATTCCTTAGCTTCCTAGTTCTTCTCCGCGGAGACTCCCAACTGCTCCACGTCTGCCGCCCACTCAAATGGTCATATCCTAGGCCCCATCACCTGGAACTGTTCCACTTCTGAAATAACGTTTAGCTCCATGACTCTCTCATCACGGCTTCCTGGCCATCCAGTTACTTCTGCACTCACTCATCTTCCACCTTCCTGAGCAGTGCGACTCGTCTTCATCCCTCTACCTCCTAATGACCAGCTTCCACCTGAAGTCATAGCTTCTCCTACCCAGCAGACTTGACAGGCATCACTTTAACCACCTACTCACTCTTTTGCTGAAATGCTCACCTCTTCTCTTGCCCAAGTGTCCTCTGCCCACCCTGGGGCAGAACCATCGGGCTCCTGGCTGCTGAGTGTGCCTGAAGCAATACCGCGCCCCTGCAGACTGGGGCTGCTGTAAGACACTCAGCCAGCTCCCGGCTCCATAATGCCCGCTTCTCAAATTAGCCCTCTCTCTTATTCTCCACAAAGGTAAGCCCAACCTCAGCTTCATCACCTTCTGCTGTTAACTGCAGCACACACAGGAACGCTCCACACAGAAAACAGAAACCTCTACACCAGCGGTTCTCAACCTTCTTAATGCCGCGACCCCTTCATACAGCTCCTCATGTTGTGGTGACCCCCAACCATAAAATTATTTTCGTTGCTACTCTAGAACTGTAATTTTGCTACTGTTATGAATCATAATGTAAATATCTTTTTGTTTTCCAATGGTCTTAGGCGACCCCTGTGAAAGGGTCGTTCGACCCCCAAAGGGGTCGCGACTCACAGGTTGAGAACCGCTGCTACACCAACATTCCCCCCCTTCCCCTTTCCTGCCACCTGGTCTCCTTAATCACCTGGCACTGCACAGATGCTTTCCTCAGCACCACTCATTACAGTGGAAGAGATGCTCCTTCCTTCTCTTGGACTCTGGATTACCTGCCCCTATTTTCTGAGAACTCACTTTTTAATCTTTTTTTTTTAGGAGGGCGCAGCTCACAGTGGCCCATGTGGGGATCGAACCGGCAACCTTGGTGTTATCAGCACCACGCTCTAACCAACTGAGCTAACCGGCCACCCTGAGAACTCATATTTTTTTACTAGTGCCTCAGGAGCCAAACATTTCAATCGTGTCCTCTTTTCTTCTCATAGTCCTTTCAATAGAGTCAAGTGTCTCTCAACTTCTATGCATGTGCACTTCATTAACTCCTCAGCCCCTTTAGGCCAACTCCCATCACTCTTCCGTCCCCTTCACAACTAAATTTTTCCAAGAAATGTCCAGAACCAACCATCTTTACATCCCCGTTTTCTGTTTACTTTTAGGCCCACTTCACCACCGCCACGCGCCTCTAAAATCTCACCCAAGTTACTAAGGACCTCCTTCGTTGCTAAATCCAATCGATTTTCACCAACTGCATCCTGACCCCCCAGCATCATTCAGCCCTGGTGGCAGGCCCCTTCTTTCTTCTCATGAAGTCCATGGTACTTAACCTCTTTGGGTTTTCCTTCTGCCCCTCTGCCTATTCCTTTGAAGTCCCCTCTGTACATTGTCTGTCCTCTGTCCTATACTCTTTTCTTACTCTACACTTTTTCTGAGCATCTTACATGCTAATGAATCCTAAATATTGCTCCTGTATTTCTCCTGAGTGCCCAAGCTTTATGTCCAACTCTACGGGGCGAGTCCACCATTCACCCCATCTGAGCACCTAAGTATCTTCCTCAATTCCCCCTCACTCATCACATTTACTTCACCACTAAGGCCTATCAATTCCAACTGGTAAGTATTTCTCAATTCTCCCCACTTATCTCCATTCCTACTTTGCCAATTCAGGCCACCATGTTGCTGGATTAGATTGCTGCGACTTCTCAACAAGTCTCTCTCCTATCAGCTGCACACTTCCCCTGACCCCCAATCTACGCTCTGTTCCACAGCCAGAGTGATCTTTTGAAATGAAAATCCTGGGGGTGACCGGTTAGCTCAGTTGGTTAGAGCGTTGTGCTGATAACACCATGATTGTCGGTTCGATCCCCGCATGAGCCACTGTGAGCTGAGCCCTCCTTAAAAGAGTCAACTAGGCCATCGTAGCATGAAAGCAATATGTAACCAATGACCATGGCTGTTCCCAATTAAAAAAAATTTTTTTTAATAAAAATAAAATAAACGAAAATCCCACTGTGTCATCCCCTTGTGTAGCTCCCCACTGACCTCTAAAATTCTTTAACATAAGTTTAAAAAAGCCTTTCACAGTCGGCCTCCTGCTCTTCTCTCCAGCCAAATAGTTCACCATAGCCCCTCCTGGAATTCTGTGCTTCAGCCATGCGGAAGTATTTTCAGTTCCTGGATGAATCTCTGGACTCCACGTCTCAGCACATGCTATCCCTTCTGACTAGAACATTCTTCTTAGAGTGAGCTCTCTTTAACCCTTCTGGACTTACGTAGCTTACATATCACCTCTTCAAGCAAATCTTTGAAACTCACCTCCCCCTGCACAACTAGCTCTTGTCATAGTACCCCCCTCTCTTCCACTGTCACATAATTAAATACATGACTTTGAAACAGGCTCTTCACTTTTCCTCAGAGTGCCCATAAAGCTTGGTATTAGAGACAATATCACTTTATTTTTGTTTAATAGTTTGTAGATGTTCTTGAAGATCTTATATACATACATTCACCTATGTCTCCTTCTTATGGACACCCTGTATATCCCTCATTAGACTGTAAGCTGCATCAGGGTATGAATGGTCATGGCCATGGTCATGTACATGGACACTCAATATTATAATAGGTAACTTTATTGGTAACAGATGTAAACTATATAAACTATCGGATGAAAAGACAGAGCTATTATGACACTTCAGGATTTTTCCACTGATGTATGGTAATTAGCAAAAGCAGAAAAACAATCTTGTCATCTTGTTTCTACGACAGCATTTATCTGAACATTATTAGGACTCAAAGCTAAAAAAACAACTAAGTATGTGAACTCTGGTTTGGATAAGGCAATCTAATACTAATACTTGCAATACTAAATACGTTTTGTAAGAAGAAGAAGAAGAAATAAAGGTAGAATAGGGGGAGATAATTCAAGGTTCATAAAGATAAATCTGGATGCCAATGCCATTAGTTGGAAAATAAAATCATCAATATCTTAGTGATTCAATATCAGTAGCTGACGAACGGTGACAGGAATGATTTTGAAAAATATAACAAAATAGTCTAGGAGCACGCTAGGCCAAAGATACCTTTAAAAAATGAATTGTAAATAAATAAATAAATAAATAAATAAAAAATAAACACTGAATTCTATGTTACAAATGGACTTTTGACAGCTATGTCTCCCCTCTCCAAATGAAAACACCCCTGACCCACTTGTTTCAAAGCAAAGAGTAACTATCAAGTATTTCAAAAACTGGTTAATACTCACAGCAAAGGGCCTTCTGCAGTCTTCGAAGTTTCATGGCAGTCCTATAAGCTGAGAACCTGACATTATTCAGGTCAGCTGAAGACAAAAGGGGGGGAACAAAGATCATTTGTTATTTCATCAGAAAGCACAGGCAAAAAGTCACAAGGATTTGCCAACAACTACTACAACAACAACAGGCTACGAAAAACAGGCTAGGAAAAAAAAGTCTCTTACATGTGCCCCAAGTTTTGGGAGGTAAAATTCTGTCAATGTGGGCAAGATAATAATTTAAAACACATCTTTTTGCTCTTTGACAATCAGGAAAGCTAAGTTCTATGAAGGACTTCAGTGGCATAGCCTGCAGGGAATTCAGGTGGTCTTTGTTCCCAAGAAGGAAAAGCACAAGTATCTTTTTACCAGCTGTAACCTTGGTTCTACTGTGATGAATCTTTACTACACAAGATTAGAGAATAAGGGATATAGTAAAGAAATGGCTATTAGAACTTAGCAAACATCAAGTGGCAATATCACATTTTTTTCTGATTATAAAAGTTAAATAGGATCACTGTGGAAAACTTAGAAATTAAAGGAAAATATAAAATCAAGTAAACAAATCATCCATAATCCCATTACCCAAAGATATGTACTTAACATTTTGAGTATTTCTTACCCAATGTGTGTGAGATGTATTTTTTTTTATTTTTCTTTTTTTAAAATTTTTAACTAAAGTTTACTGGGGTTACAACTGTTAGCAAAGTCACATAGGCTTTCAAGTGTACAATTCTGTAACACATCATCTATATATCACATTGTGTGTTCACCACCCAGTCAGTTCTCCTCCCATCACCATATATTTGACCCCTTTTACCCTCATCTACTACCTTCCTCCCCCCCTTACCCTCTGGTAACCACTAAACTATTGTCTGTCTCTATGAGTTTTGTTTCTTCATTTGTTTTTCTTGTTGTTTTTGGTTTTATATACCACATATCAGTGAAATCATATGGTTGTGAGATGTATTTTTAAATATAATTAGGACTAAAATAAACATTTAGTTTATATTCTAAGGTACAATCATTCTAATATTCAGCACAGATTAACTACTCAACAATTTCTGCTACTGTAGTTTCTACAGTAACCTGTCTGCATATCAAGCTTCAACTCACTTTACCTAGCAGGAAGCTCTATTTAGATGATGTCCTTCCTCAAGTTTGTACAAGCCTTGATATACCCTGGGCTATATTTCTTTTCTAGAGTTTCTGTGTATTTATGTTTCAGGAACCCAGCTCCAAAAAGCTCCTTGGGAACAAGTACCCTGTCTCCTACTTCTGTCGTATTTCCTAGTGCCTTAATATATGACTGCTCTCTGAAAAAGCAGGCCTCATACAGCTAGGGGACTGACTGATGAACAGACTCAATGACTAAATGAACAAAAGGATGAAAGAAAGAAAAAAACATGACTAACTGCAATAATCAAATGGTTCCCAGAAAACCAATTCTGATTGGGGGTTAGGAAAGGGAAATAATTTAATTCATATCCAAGTCACTTGAGTCAACATTATTAGCTTTATGGCCTTTGCAGAGACCAAATATAAAAACCTGAATTGAAATTAGGGGGAAGAAAAACAATGTCTGTAATTTACTTTAAAATATTCAGCATAAAAATAAAAATACTGACAATGCTAAATGTTGGCAAGGATGTGGAGCAACTGGAACTCTCCACATGCTGGTGGGAACAGAAAGCAGTACAGCTACTTTGGAAAACGAGTTTAGCAATGTCTTATGAAATTAAACATACAGCTGTCTTCTGACCCAAACAGACTACTCCTAGATATTTACCCCAAAGAAATAAAAACATGCCCACAAAACAATGAGTACATGAATGTGCACAGTAGCTTTATCTATAATAGCCCCAAACTGGAAACAAACCAATAGGAGAATGCATAAACAGATAGTGGAAGAGGTATACAATGGATACTAATCTGCAGTAAAACAGAACTAAGTACTGATAATGCAACAATGTGAACTGATCCAAAAAAAGTTAATACTGGGTAAAAGAAGCCAGACACAAAGAGTAAATACTGTTTGATTCCATTCATGTAAGATTCTAAAACAGGTAAATCTCACCTACATGACAGAAGGCAAATAGATGGTAGCCTGGGGTGGGCTAGTGGTAGGTAACTGACTACAAAGAACACAAGGGTATTTTTTAGGTGATTGAAATGTGACATGTCTTGATTGGAGTGGAGGTTACACGAGTATATGTATACATTTGTCAAAACTCACCCTGTACACTTAAAAATGGGTGCATTTTATTGTGTTTAAATTATGCCTTAATAAAGTAGAAGTTAAGAGTTAAAAAAAAACAACCTTTAGATGGACAGTCCAATATGATGTATGTGTGTGTTAACTTAAGCTACACTGCAGAGGAGGTCAGTTATCTTAATCAAGAATGCACACTCCAGGGGTGGCTGGCCAGCAATTAATCAAAAAAACCTCACTCCAGAGGCGGCCACTGGAAGTGCTTCAGCTATATTTAGCTCTTATTACACCAGGGGTTTCATTAATTATCCTAATTAATGTCAAATGCATTTGCATTGGTGATATTAGTGGTTTGCAAACTGGGAGACTATCTGAAAAGGTTTAGAAACATTCCTTGCCCTTACATTAACAGGGTGTGAGAAGAATCTAGTAGGACCTCCGCCTTTAGACATGGCACCTTAGGCTGGATTCCAAGATGTCCAGCCGGGGTTCACTGGATTCGCGACTGCCTCAATTAGATGGTTGACAGACTCCTGCTGTTATAGCAGTGGTTCTCCAACTGGAATGTACATCAGAATCAACTGGAGGGCTAGCTAAAATACAGACTCCCAGGCCCCACGCCCAGATTTTTCTGATTCTGTAGGTCTGGAGAGGGCCTAAGAAACTGTATCTCTTTAAGAAATTGCCAGGTGATGCTGAATGAGAACCAATGTTTTAGAGGACTGTGGCTTGTATGGGTTGTGAGGCTCTTAGGTCAAACACTTGAAAAGGCAGAGCTGTGACTTCCTTTTGCCTTTGGCACAGGTTTTATGATTGTTTTGTACCCTGTGGCTAATAAGTGTTTACATATGACAGAGTTTGTTCTGAGACTCGTTTTCATTACAAACTGGTAGCCAAGATGTGGATAAGTGGACAGCCCTCATCTACGTTTAGCCATGGGTGGCGACCAACACCTACCCAACAGAGAAGTTGTGTGGGCCCTTGTTACCCAAAGTGTGCTTCAAGGACCGATAGCATAGCATCTCTTTGGAGCGTGTTAGAAATGCAGAATCTCAGGCCTCACCTGAATCTATGAATCACAGTCAACATTTTAACAAAATCCTCCCGGTGATTCATAGGGACCTACCAGGGCATTCGGGCCTTCCATTGTACATTTCAATAAAGCTTTTTGTTCCATGTTCTAGTTCAAATACAAACTCTGTATAAAGACCTGTGTTGTCCTCTGTTTTTCTACCTTTCTACATTCCATTTTGTGGTCCTTCGGGAGATTATACAATGACTATTATAATCACTTAGACCAAAAACTCACCTCTGGAATGTATTTGTGGGTCTCTTCTTTATGATGACCACCAATAAAAGTTATTCAATAAACTAACTGTTTAAAAATATCTTGAAAGGCTCCAGATTCCTTCTCCTTGAAGTGAATTCACTTATCCCTGGCCGTTGTTTCCCCGGTGAGTAGAGCTTGATTTATCTGGGTCCCTTGGATTGCCCTTCATCCTCACTGCCTCAAGGGTTGTGGTTCTTCCTTTGTCTATTTTTCCTAGTCATCATCGTTTATCTTTTTGTGTGGTCTCAGGTAAGTCACAGTATGAGTTGTCTTGGGACACTAATCCATAGGAAACTAATTCCTGACTTGCTCTCCAGATTGGTGTCACACCATTCATCAGTACGATCAAACTTTCCCCATACTCGCTAGTACCGAGTTCCTTCACACGCACTCATGAACAAGCCCCTTTGGTTCTTTATAAAATAAACAATAGAGACACAGAAATGCACTTCTAGTCAAGCACATATGACTTTTCCCCCAACACCAGCCTGTAGCAGCTTCCAAGGACTAGGCCTCCAACTCCAAATTTCCTTTCACGCATTTCCTTATAGGAAAGGGTGGCGCGTGAAGTATGTGCCAATCAAACACCTTCACAGAAGACACTGGCCAAAACTTGCTCTTCTTTTCCCTTTCTTTCTAATCCTCCTTTTCCATGGCCTCTTAACTCATGGGTCTTGTTTCCTACTATCTTCCCTTTTTCATAAAGCTAAGATCTCTTATGACCCCAAGTCTTCTCCCCTTTCCGCTTTTCCTGGTTCTATTTAGAATTTAGAACAAATGGTCTAAATTAGGTCACAGAGGCTTCATCCAAATCTCACAGTTCATATCAAGAATTGGCAAATTCTAGGAGCTGGAGATCCAAGTGGGAGAGGCAAGGATGATCTGATTCTTTCAGGGTGTGGCTCCCTGTGGAATACTATCGGAGACAGGCATCTGAAACATTCCTTCTCTAGCAGTGCTCGAAGCTTCCCTAGAGCAGTTCAAACTTTGTTCCCTTCCAAATCCTTCTAACTGTGGAACATTCCGCCTCGAGTTCATCTTCCTTGACACCCTTTTTGGCATACCCCCAACCCACTGCAGCGAACAAGCATTCTGCCACCAGTTTTCTAGGGACTAGTTTCTCATACAGGGATCTGCGAAGGCCAGATAAAATGAGCAGGGAAAACATTGAGTTTTCATCATACTGCAACAGCAGCCATACAAACCTATATCCAGTAACCGTCAGTGAATTGCAACAGGGTTCCGGTGCCCTGAAAGTCCTACTCAAGATAGTTAACCATCTGTGTTGTTTGAGTCTGCATGTGTTGCTAGGAATCTGTAGCACCACTCCCTCTGGCTTACAGCTGGAAGAGATAAGTCTCCGCCTTGTGAAAGTGTGTAGGATGTACGCAGAAACCTCAAGATGTGGTACAGCTGTGGACAATGTAACACTGTCCTGGGCTGAGGCTGGAGCTGACCCTGTAGCTGAAGTATGCATGCAGAATAAAGCTAAAGCCCTCACCCCCA